CACTTCCATCTGGAAGAAAGCTGCCCCGCAGGTCTCACCCTGATGCTGGACAATTCAGTTCCTCCCTGTACATCTCTGATGCCTTTCAGTCTGCTGCCACAGCACTGGAGCTCAGAGGGAGTGAGTCTGAGTAGGTCTGTGTGTGGGCCCTTTAAGAGAAACTGCCTAGAATTTCAGCAGTTTGTGTCTTCTACAACTTCAATCCCCACTGGTTTTTACATCCAGAAGTTATGGGAATTTATCTTCCTGGACCTGGAATCCTGGGCTGGGGGTCCTGGTGTGGGGCTAGGACCCCTTGCTCCTGAGATATCCCTTCCAATTTTTATCTACCACACGTGAGTGTGGGACCCCCCTGTTCCACATCTCTGCTCCTTTTACCAGTCTCAGTGTGGTCTCTTCTTTAATTCTGTAGCTGTAGGACTTCCGTTCAGCTCAATTTCTGGTGGTTCTGAATGATAGTTTTTCTATAGTTTAGTTGTAACTTTTAAAAATTTCTTAGAACATTTACTTTAAGAATAGTAATAATATATGCATACAAGTATAACATTATTATTTATTATTTGACAATGCTTCTCATGTAATGTTAGCAACTCAAATAGACCTAATTACCTTATTTTCCTTTTTTTATAAAGTGAGAGAGAGGAGGAGATCTTTTGGAATGTTTCAGGGATTCTTCTTAAAAATCTCACTTATTTTTAGGTTAAGAAAAGGACTCTAATTTTTGAATTTTGGGAAGTTTGACAAACATATAAAAAATTTAAAAATAATTGGTCAAATAGGATCATAGGTCACTGTAAAACAGTACCTAGTTATCTACTTAATCATTGTGACAATTAGAGACTTCACAGGCAAATACAGAAAGTTAGATAGTTGTAAGCAAAATTTAGCTCTTTTATTTTATTTTTTACATATATTTTTATTTTTAAGTATATTGTGTTGATTATGCTATTAGTTGTCCAATTTTTATCTCCCCTTTACATTTCATATAAGAATGGCTTGGTGGTGATGAACTCCTTTAACTTGACCTTCTCTGGGAAGCACTTTCTCTGCCCTTCCATTCTAAATGATGGCTTTGCTGGAGAGAGCAATCTAGGTTGTAGGTCCTTACCTTTCATGATTTTGAATCTTCTTTCCAGCTCCTTCTTGCCTGTAAAGTTTCTTTTGAGAAATCAACTGATAGTCTTGTGGAAACTCCTTTGTAGGTAATTCTTTTTCCCTTGCTGCTTTCAAGCTTCTCTCCTGATCTTTAATCTTGGATAATTTAATTATGATGTGTCTTGGCGTGTTCCTGTTTGGGTCCAACTTCTTTGGGACTTCTGGTTCTTCTTGTTTTTAAATTGTTGATGTCCTTCTTTTGGTTGTGTGAGGAAGCAAAGTGTACCTACCTATGTCTCCATCTTGGCTGGGTTTAGTTGTAATTTTGATGTGGTTGTGTGATGAAGTGAGTCATGTTTGCCTACACTACCACCTTGACTGAAGTCTCTAATGTATTATGCATTTCAGTTATTGTATTGTTCATTTTTGAGTTGTCCTTTTTTTTTATGGATTCTATGTCCTTTTTTATGCTGTTGAAGTTCTCACTAAGTTTGGGGCACATCCTTATAGCCATTGTTTTAAATTCTGTATCTGGTATATTGCTGGCCTCCATTTCATTTAGTTCTTTTTATGGTGATTTCTCCTGTTCTTTCATTTGAGACATGTTTCTCATTCCCCACGCTTTGGCTGCCTCCATGTGCTTGTTTCGATGTATTAGGTAGATGTGCTACATCTTCCAGCCTTGGCAGGATGACCTTACGCATAAGGCTCAGTAGCACAGTCTCCCCAATCACTTGGGATGGTTACTGCAGAGGTACCCCTTTGTGGTTTGTGTGTGCCCTCCTGTTGTAGTTGAGTCTAGATTACTGTTGGCATATCCACGGTTAGTACTGACCCTCAGACTGACTGACTGGCTGTGAGGATTGGTTATTAACACAGTGTAAAAGCTGCTGTGCAGGGCTGTCCCCACAGAGTGGGATTTTCAGCAGTGGGTTCTGGAGACTGCCAAGATCTCCCTGTGTCCATGCCGCATGGGGAGGTAGCCAGGCGGTGCCTTCTTGCGGCCTGAAGCTGGGCACCAAGTGCTTTGGTTCTGCGGCCTCTAAGAGGGGCTCTGGTCAATGTCGTATTCTGCCGGTGCCAATGTCGTATTGCTGGCCTGTCCGTTAGGGGCTACAAAGCGGTCACTAGTTTGCCTTGTAGCTGCCTAGACTGGGCCTGGGTGAGCCTTGGAGGGGCCAAGCTGCAGCCCAAACCTGGATAGTACCAACAGTGGGCCTTTGCTAGGTCATCAGAAGTCCCAAGGGATCCTGACACCTGCAGCTGCCTGCTTTTTTCCCATAAGGCACAGTTGCTGAAAGAGCCTTGGGCAGGCCTCAGGGCAGTATCTCAGGGAGTTGTCACCGGAGAGCTAATGGAGTTCACCAGGCTGATGCAGAATCAGGTGTGGCTATATTGGGAGAGGGCTCAACAGGGATCCAACCCTTGCCTGAAGCCACACAATTCAGTCTGTCCCTGGATGCCTCTAGTATCCCCTGAGCTTAAGCAGAGTTGTGTGTGCTTTTTTTTAGAAAGATGGCAATGGAGGCCCACACTTGTCACGCTAGAAAGAGCCTTTGGCCATAAGTGAATCAGGTGTGCAGGGTCTCAGGGCACCTTCAGATTCAACGGGCCAATTAGATTCATATTTAGCTGGAGGGGGGAGGGATCAGCATGGAAGAGTTGGTGCCTGTTGGCCACAGAAGACGGGGGCAGCATAGGGACAAGAGTGGCCATCCCTCCAGCCCTTGCACCAAAGCCACGCAATTCAGTCCCTTTTCGCACGTCTTGGCACTCCTTAAGCCACCAGTTCTCCTCCAGGGCCCTGGGGGAATACCAAAACAAGATTTTGTGCACGGGCCCACACAGATAGTATGCCTGGTTTCCAGCTTATATTCCATCTCACCTGGGTGGATGGAATCCTCACTGATTTTCAGTCAGATGTTGTGAGGCTCCTCTTTTTGGTACTGGTACTATGGGGGAACTTGATGTGGGGTTGAGACCCCTTGCTCCTCAGGAGGGACCTCTGCCACTGAAGTATTCCTCCTGATTCCCAACCACTGCGTGTAGGTGTGGAACCAGCCATTTTTGTATTTTATTCTTTGTACCAGTCCTGATGTGCCTTCTTCTGTATATTTTTCGTTACAGGACTTCTAGTCAGCCCGTCTTCAGATGGTTCTCCATGTTAATCACCCTATAATTTGGTTGTAATTTGGGTGTGTTCATGGGAGGAGTGAGCACCATGTCCACCTACTTCATGATCTTGACTGGAACTCGAGAATACTGCTATTCTTTGTCCTTCTGTAAATAACCCTTCTTCTCTCATCATTTTCTTTTCTTTTTTTGGTTCTCTCCTTTTCTTGAAAATGTGGACTTACACTATATTCTCAGACAGATATTTCCATAAGAACCATTTTTGATACATTTTTCTTCTGTAATGTCTTATGTTTTCCATAGCTATATTTTTTATATGCAAAGCCAAACATTTATAGGTAACTTTTGTTCTTGTTAGGCTCATAATCCTGACCTGACCACAGACTTACATAATCAGAAACTCCATATCAAGATCTTGGCCCTGCATTTTAAAAAATCTACACTGCTTGTTCTAAAGTAGAGGTGATGCTGAGATTCCTATTCTAAGCCATGTAAATGTGGGAGGTGGGGGTGGGTGGGGCAGGGGAAAGCGGTGGTGGGAAAGTGGAGACAAATGTATTTGAACAATAAAAAAAATAGGTTAAGTGAAAAAAAACCAAGAGAATGTACCCGTGTGAGCCAAATGCAACAAGCACAGGCTTAGTAAACGAGCTCTAAATTCTAGGAAACCCGCGTCCTGCCTGTGTCTGCGGATGTCATTGCAGCACTGACAGTGACGTGAGAGCAGGCGGCACTGCAGCCAGGCCCCTCCCCCGCACCGCCCCTCAGGCGCCGCGTGCACCTGAGTTAACGGTCCTGCTCCGCGCAGCCCCCAGCGTCTGGAGAAACTACCTGAGTTGTACTTGCAGATCAGATTATGGAATTCAGAGTCTGTTCATTTAAAGAGGTGAGGTTTATATAAATCTAGTCATTTAGAAAGCAGTGGACGGAAGTAGAAATGGGAAGCTGGAGGGAGAACTTGAGTCCTATGGGATTTGAGGAAAACTATTACTAATTTTTAAAGGTAATCGCGTATGCTCTTAATCAAACCAAGGTGTTATCATAGTTAAAAATGGGCCAGGGAATTAAAATTGTGGAGAGACTGGTAGAATTATTGCCTATTACGCTCAGTTTAGCTATAATAATGCTGTATCAAAGTGTGTTCCTTGGGTTTATTCAAAAACAATAGAGGTGAGATTCGAGTTGAGATCAAATTAATTCCCTGAGGTTAAACCCGCAGTGAACTGGGCTGCTTAGCTCCCTCAGGCTCTGCAGGGAGCCCTGGCCCCAGGGCCCCAGTCGCAAGACTGGGAAGGGACATTCGCATCCTCTAAGCTCTGAGCTTTTTCTCGTTCACATGTGCCAACCCCGGGCTCTGCTCTCTCCTCGTGACCCACTGTCCCTGGCAGTGCTCCTTGTAGTGACCCCTCTGATAGTAAGTTTCAACTTCTGAGTTGGTGACTGTGCTCAAGAATTTAGTAGCCATTTAATTCTAATACCCTTACTCCTCTTTTCCCACATTTTAATATGGTGGTGAAACTCGGATATAAAAGTGCATTGTCCCCAAGTCCAAATCCATATCTTTCTTAAACTTTCAGCTTGAAATCTCAGTAAGGCCATGTGTCATGCAGCGGCCTCTGGTTTCTGCATGTTTTTAAAATGAGCCGGTGAGTCCCCAGAGTGGGGGAGCCCAAGCTCACATAGGACATGGCCTTTTCTAGCCTCACCACCCAGGGAGTCAGCAGCAGGTGCTATGCTTCGCCTTGACGATCACACTCACCGTGTCCTTCCAGGAGAAAGTGGAAATGCAGAGGCAGCGCTTCAGGCTTGAGTTTGAGAAGTGCCGTGGCTTCCTGGCGCAGGAGGAGCAGCTGCAGCTGCGGCAGCTGGAGCAGGAGGAGCGCGCGACGCTGCAGAGACTGCGCCACTGCCAGAGACAGCTCGTGCAGCACGGCCAGGCGCTGGGGGAGCTGGCCCAGGAGCTGGACGACCGCTGCGGGCGCCCGGCCGTGGACCTGCTGGAGGTGAGGCCTCCGCACTGCTGCGCTCGCAGCCTCGTGGGAAGGACACCCTCGACCTCAGCGGGAGCATGTCAGTTTCAGGGGATGCTGCAGAATCCTATGAAATAGTTTGCATTGAAGAGAAACACTTACTTTTAAAAATTAAAATGAACTAGATGATTTGCATAAGATTCAACAGAAAATGACAACCTACACTGTGTTGGCTGAAAAGCACTTCTTAAAACCTTACAATCTCTTAATGACTTTAAATATATTGCTGTATTTAGGGATGCCCAATTCAGAAAGGCTCTGGTAACCTGCCTCAGGCAAGAGCCAAGCATGTAAATAAATTTTAAGTTGTCTGGGTTGGAATTTTAACTTTAAAATTTAAGGCAAAAGCCAAACTGCAAGCCTGCCCCAGGCACAGCAGCAACTACGCGGGTGCCGTGCAGTTTGCGCACATTCTGTGTGGGATTATAGAATAGACAAGTACTGGAGAAAGGAAACACTCATTCTAATCTCCCATAAAGACATTAATCCCGTGAGCCGGGAAAGCCCTCACTGTGACTGAACCACTGTAATAGAAAGTTCCTGGCACACTTTATGCTATCTCATCCCCACTGACTTATGCAGAGGTTTTTATTTATTTTTTAAAAATATTTTATTTATTTATTTTTAGACAGAAGGGAAGGGAGGGAGAAAGGGGAAGAGAAACATCAATGTGTGGTTGCCTCTCATGCACCCCCTACTGGGAACCTGGCCTGTAACACCAGGCATGTGCCCTGACTGGGAATCGAACCGGTGACCTGTTGGTTCTCAGGCTGGTGCTCAATCCACAGAGCCATGCCAGCCTTGGCTATGCAGAAGTTTTTAAACTACATGATTCATATCCTCATACAAGAATGGTGATTAAGCACAGTGGGAGTCATCAGATGAAGAATTTACAAAACACTCATATTTAATTTTTCCCATTTTGTCTTCAAAATATCTATAGATAACTAAAAAATTATTATTGTTGGCTTGGTTGGTATCAGTGGATTGAGTGAACCAACGCGTCTCCGGTTCAATTCTCAGTCATGGCACAGGACTGGGTTGGGGGCCAGGTCCTCAGTAGGGGGTGCATAAGAGGCAACCACACATTGATGTTTCTCTCCCTCTCTTTCTCCCCGCTCCCTCTATTTAAAAATAAGTAAATAAATAAAATAATAAAAATTATTACTGTTATCATTATTATTGCTATACCTATTTCCTTGTGAGCAAACTAAAGGTCAGAAAGAATTTTTTTAAAAAATTCATACAGTAGGTACACACACAAGAGCTTCAGCATTTTTAACAACATTCATTTTCTTCTAAAGACACAACTTACTTAAAATGAGCGTTCATTAGCACCATATAAATGTTAAAGTTGATTGATGGTACAAATCTTAGGGAAGACTTACTCAGATAATTTATTTTTCTTTTCATCCTCACCTTTCCCTTTCTTCCTGGGTACCAATAAGTTGTACTTTTACATCCAATGACCGTGAACAAGGCCTGCCATAAAAAGTAAAATTAATCACTTCTGTACTTTATAAAAATTAATTTTCAAAAAGATTTTATTTATTTATTTTTTAGAGAGAGGGGAAGGGAAGGAGAAACGGAGAGAAACATAAATGTGTGGTTGCTTCTCACACAACCCTTACTGGGGACCTGGCCTGCAACCCAGGCCTGTGCCCCAACTGGGAATTGAACCGGTGACCCTTTGGTTTGCAGGCCAGCACTCAATCCAGTGAGCCACACCTGCCAGGGCTATGAAAATTAATTTGATAGGTGAACTTTTTTAGAGGGACTGGAGAAATGTAATTCAGTTGATTTATTTAATAATCTACTTTGAGATAAAATGGCACCAGATATTAATGACTTCTGCTTTTACCCATTTAGGAACCTGCTCGCATGTGAGTCTATAGATAGGGTGTGTTGGTTTCAAAAACTGAGGAATTTGTTTTTTTTCTTAAACAGAGATATTGAGAGTAACATTTTATGTCTATACCTTTCACTGTGTCTAAAACACATTCTGCAGATATTTAAGATCTATTTTTACCCCAATTCTACATATATTTGTTGTAGAATGTAACACTTTATTAAAATATCCAAATGTCAGAATTATCAATTTGGAAAACAGTTAAATTGGTAGATATTATAAGAATTAACCTAGCCCTGGCTGGTTTGCCTCAGTGGATTGAGTACTGGACTGTGAAGCAAGGGGTCACCAGTTGGATTCCCAGTCAGGGCACAGGCCTGGGTTGTGGGGGGTGCAGAAGAGGCAATCACACATTGGAGTTTCTCTCCCTCTCTCCCTCCCCCCTCTCTAAAAATAAAAAACAATTAATAAAAAAAAGAATTAACCTAAGCTTTCTGTAGTCTGATTCTATTTCCATAGAGGCAAACTGATGCTATTATTTTAAATTTATGAGAAAGTTTAACAACAACCTATGTTTTGGTTTTCATTCAGAGAGATTCATGTCTCTTATACTTTAATAGTTTAGTGATTTTCAATAATTTCTTACCTTGCTCATGGCTAATTCCCATCCTGTCAAAAGAAATTTTGACATCGAACTCACACATGCTTGTGTTTCTCTTTTACTTCCAGGGGGTGAGAGGAGCCTTGAGCCGGTATGTGTACTTTCTGAAGCAGAGGATGGGTTGGGAGAGGCCACGGAGGTTGGTGGATGTTGAGGAATGTGGGTTGTGTGCTCTTCTCAGAAGTAAGAGTGTTACACGGCCAGAACCGGAGACCATCCCCTTGGAGCTGAAAACAATGTGTCGCATCCCTGGGATGAGAGATATGTTGAGAAAGTTCCAAGGTAGGTTGCATCTTAGGGCTTGGGGGATGTGGTGTCTGGGGTCTGACTGCTTCTACGCCACTCAGGTATAAGCAGAACCTGAAGTTTAGTGACTAAAGTCAGCCAAGTTTTTTTCTGAGGTTGCTTTATTGGTTTATTTCTGGATAGAGGACGGTTTGGTTTCATCTCTCTCACTCTGGGGCGCGTGCAGACAGCCCCCGTCCTTGCGCTGCGGGCAGCCATGTGGGAGGGCGAGGCCAAGGGGAGCGAGGCCCTGCCCCTGAAGCCGTCCCCAGCCCGGTGCGGTGCCCGTGGTTCCCGGGCCCGCGCGACGGTGCCGGCCGATCAGGGGAGGGGAGAAAGCGCTGTGCCCAGAGGGAAGGGGGCGGGGGTGGTGTGAGCGGCCCTGATGCCGTAGGCACGGCATGTGGCTGCAACAGTGGGCACAGGGGCTGCGACAGGAGTCACAGTCGTTCCAATAAATATGCATTTTTTGTTTATAAAATGATAAAACAGTATTATTTGAAGGATCAAATTAAACATTTGAAAAGAGGATAAATAGCATCAGTATAAACACATTGCAGAGTATCAAATGTTAAGTGTGGTTTATTTTGTTACCTGACAATTTGATGAGTTGCCTAAATTAGAGAGTTCATAAAACCAAAAATAATTCAATTATTATGTGGGAATAATTATGGTGTCCTAAATTAATTGCTTTTGTCTGATTATGTTTTGTTTTGTTTTGTTTTTATCCTCACCTGAGGACATGCCTATTTATTTTGGAGAGAGGGAAGGGAGGGAGAGAAACATCAGTCTGCTCTCGCGCGCCCCCAGCCAGGTCGGGACCCACAGCTCAGGCCTGAGTCCCGACCGTGAACCCACGGCCCCTTGGTTCACAGAAGACGCTCCAACCAACTGAGCGACACTGGTCAGGACTGATTATGTTGTTCTTTAAAACAGCCCAGATTCAGTTTTTTTATTTCTTTTTTAATCTAACTTATACCAAGTGATGGAAACTACATTATGACTATATAGTGGTTTCAGTACTTAGCAGGAAACAGCTTGTCCCATCGTGAGAAAACCCATCATTAGTAGTCTTGTTCAATGATTTAACCCATGTTCTGATAGGCAGATTCATATATAACAACTGCGTAAATTCTTGCAACCATTACACTCTCAGAATCCATGTCCTCATATTCCCAATGACATTTACAGAATTAATCAATTAATAAATTCAACAAATATGCAGTATTTAAAAGTATTATGCCAGCTACTATTCTAAGTGTTGGAGGGATAGCGCAGCAAACACCAGATCTGGAGGAGGGCCTCCTGGAGAAGGACCTGTGAGGAGACCCCTGCTGTGGGGGCGGGTCAGGAGTAGGGCAGTGAGTGGCGGGGTAGCAGGGTCGGGTCCATGCTGTGGGGCTCACTCTGCGTGCTTTACTCAGAGTCAGTTAGAGGGGACAAGGCATGCAGGGGGAAGAGCAGTTAGGACCTTTGCAAACTTCAGTCAGAGTTGATTGTGGATGGGTCCTGGGGGTGCTGAGAAACAGACAGGATCTTGGCACATTTTGAAGGCAGAGCTGGGAAATGTGCTGCTCGATTAGGCATGAGATGTCAGAGAAGGAGGAGACTTATGAGTAGTTTCCAGATTCAGTTCTCCAAAATTGACATAATGAAGTTGCAATTCCCATCAACAGTGTTGCTGCAGGTTAGACAGAAGGAGGGAAGCTGGGTTTTGGACACATAGGTGTTGTGAAGGACATTGAACATCCTAATGTGGGTGTCAGGTTGTCAGATGAATTTACAAAGATGGAGTTCCAAGAGAAAGGTCTAGGCTACAGCTATGCATTTGGAATCAGTAAGAGAATGATTGGAAGTCAATTAAAGCACTGAGCCAGCTTGCTGGAGCACACGGGAGCGAGCTGAGAGAGAAGACGCCCCAGCCCTGAGACGTCGGCTTTTCCAGTGGCGGTGGAGGAGAAGGGGAGAAAGCCGCGGAGGAGGCTGAGAGGGCATGTCAGGAGAGAGGGAGGCAAAGCGTGATGCCCGTCGTTCGGCAAAGAGAAGGGAGGTTCTCCAGGACAAAGTGCTTCTCAGCAGTGCTGAATGTCACAGAAAAGCCACGTAAGATGTCCATCTCGTCACTGTTCTGGAAGTCATTGGGAAGGCGGAGACGAGCAGCCCAGCTAGGGGGTAGCTCTATCATGGTGAGCAGCTGAGTTTATGAGAGGAGTTGGAGGCAGACTGTTTTAAAAACTAGTGCATAGATTTCTTTTCTTGTAAGTGGAACAAAGAAGGCTGCTGGAGCAGGACTGACGTGTAAGATATCACATGTTAAATAGGATTAACGACCCCACAGAGACTCATGTTCAAGCCCTGCTATCTCCAGTTCCTAGAGTTTGGGAAAATCACACGAAGCCCTTGCCTCTCCCTCTTGTCATCCATAATGTGGGGGTGATAATGACCACCTTGAGGTGGTTTCATGTGTGAGTATAGGTGGTGTGCTACCTGCAGGACTCACTCAGGCATGAATATTAACAAAACATTGTGAGACATGATTTAGAGACAAGTAAGAATAGCAATTGCAATGGTAATATTTGTTACTGTGATATTAAAAATGAAACTATATTAATTAAATTTACTATTTTTGATCATTTTTAAAGAGAAAGCACTGAATATTTTACATTCTTCCTTCTTTACCCAGGAGATTCCATGTGTACATTTACTTATTAATTATGTGCACAAGGAAAATTTCACATCAACCTCACTGCGATTTCCAAGTATCAGTTTCTGTGTCCTATTGCTGCCTAACAAATTGCCACAGACTTAGCTGCTTAAAACCACACCCATTTATTAGTTCAAGTTTCTGCCAATAAGACTTCCAGGTGGGGTCAACTGGCTTTTCTGCTTGGGGTTTCACAAGATCAAAATCAAGTTGTTGGCCACACTAGACTTCTGTGGAAGGTGTGGGGGAAGAATCACTTCCCAGCTTACCTCACTTGGTAGCGTAGGGCGCTTCTGGGCAGCTGTAGGGCTGCCGTCCCCAGTTTCTTGGGAGGTCACTTGCCTTTCTCTCATGAGATTTCCCCTCCATCTTTAAAACCAGTGATGACAAATCAAATTTAAATATCTCTGACCTCCCTTCTGCCACCAGCCCAATAAACAGAGAAGGCTTTCTGATTTCAAAAAACAAAACAAAACAAAACAAAACTGATGTGACTGTATTAGACCCACCCAGATAATCTCTGTCTTGTCATTGAGTATAACAATCATGAAAGTACCACCAGGGTCTGAGGTCATGGGTTCTGTCTCAGAATTCTGCCTGTTATAATAACACAACTTTGAAAATGGTGGATTTTATATATGAAATTTTCTGTTAGTTTTTGAAAGAAAGAAAAATATACCCTAAATGGTTTTAAAATTTTATTTTAAATGCAAAAAGATACTGCTTAGAGCCTTGAGGGGTGGTGTGACCATTCTCCTTAGCATCATGGCTCCTAAGTGTTTACCAGCCTTTTCCATTCTTTTCCATGTCCCACAAAATCCGTCCTGCAGTTGATGTGAAGCTGGACCCCGCCACAGCACATCCTAGCCTCCTCTTGACCGCTGACCTGCGCAGTGTGCAGGATGGGGAACTGTGGAGGGATGTCCCCAACAACCCTGAGCGATTTGACACGTGGCCCTGTGTCCTGGGTTTGCAGAACTTTTCATCAGGAAGGCATTACTGGGAAGTCCTGGTGGGAGAAAAAGCAGAGTGGGGTTTAGGAGTCTGTCAGGACACAGTGCTAAGAAAGGGGGAAACCACACCGTCTCCTGAGAATGGAGTCTGGGCCATGTGGCTGCTGAAAGGCAACGAGTACATGGTCCTCGCCTCCCCTTCTGTGCCTCTTGTCCACCTAGAACGGCCTCGTCGCATTGGGATTTTCTTGGACCATGAAGCAGGTGAAATCTCCTTTTATAACATCACGAATGGGTCTTACATCTACACATTCAGCCAACTGTTCACTGGTGTTCTCCGACCTTACTTTTTCATCTGTGACACAACTCCTCTTGCCCTGCCACCCATTACAGAGGTAGAGTCAGGACCCTGTGCCTCCAGCAGTCATCTCGACCCTGCTCCTAACTCCGTAGATAACCATTCCTAAAATCCTGTCATGAGACGCCCTCTAAGCACAGCAGTTTCCTGGAGTGGAGTGGAGGATATACAAATATCCCCATTGAGGGCAGCACTTTAGTCATTGTTGCTGTGGGTATTTTCCCATAGGGACAAAGAAAAAATGAAATGTTTGCATTTGGAGGAGCATTACGAAATATATAATCCTGGAAATGGAACGTCCTCATCATCCTTTGTCCAGGTGGCCCCACGTGCTTTCCTAATGAGTCTCTTCAAATGAATGGATCTTGTATTAAATGTATCTACACATGCATTATAATTTCTCATTTCTTTCAATATCCTTTTACTCCAAGTCTTCCACACATTAACAATTAGAAATGGCAGTTTTTAAATAGAGTGAGAACTGTCCAATATTCTAGCATCAGATTCAGGACTATGTTTCTTCTCTTCCTCCTCTCTTGTTCCCTCTCTTCCTTTTCTTTGCTTTTGTCTCTTTCTATTCGACTCCCTCTCTTCCTCTTCCTTGCTTCTTACCTTTTTTTTTTTTTTTGCCTGATACTTGTTCTGTTTTACCTTCCACTTCCTTCTAGATTAATTTATTGAGAAGTATTCCTTTATAGACTTACAATTGCTATGACTGTTCAATTACTTTTAAGTTCTCCATTCTGGGACTCAGTCTAATTCCTCTGAGTCTAATATCACTGAAACCCATACCACAGCCCTCTGGGAATGCATTTTTTCCCTTTATTTTTGAATACATATTTTAGAGTAGGGATTTCTTAGAGCTGTGATTCAACTAGTTTGACCTAGCTCTTTACTGGTTGTAAGAGCTCAAACACTATCAGCTACTTAACAGTTCCTATACCTGGAACAATGATATTGATCTCATGATGTTATGGTAAGTATTTAAGGCCATGATTATTATGATTGGTTAAAATTCAACTTTCCTACTTCATTTAAATATAAAGATGATGATGATTAAACAATATGCGACGTATTTAAAAGTATATTCTGTATGTTCCCAACAAAATTCTTGTCATTGAAGGCTAACTTTGCCACTATATTTTTGTGTATCTCTATCTAATAAATATTTGCTAACCAAGTGTTAAAAGTGCTAAATTATTTGAATGCTAAATAATGATTAACTAATGCAAATTTGTTTAATGTTATGCTAATACTTTTGCTAAAACTTTAATCCTTCTCTAACTCCACTTGGAACTGTACAGTGTTTGTATCTTCCAGGGGGCTTTTTTATTTTATTTTTTTTACTAAAATCTTTTCACTTACTTTCCAATAACATTATTAACAGTCTTCCCCCTAGGTATTTTCATAGAAAACTGTTTTCTAGATGTTTTGCATTTGGAGGAGCATTATTGAAGACTAATAACTTTAGAAATGGAGCAAGCTTATCAAAATCCATTTCCAGATGGATCTCTATTACTTATTGATGAATCCTGGATTCCGCTAAGATTTCTATATTCATGTTTAATACACTTACGTGTGATCCTAAGCAGACATTTCCACTCTCCATCTCTCATTTGCAAACAGCAGTGATAGTAACATACCCTTGCATCTCTCATGCTATTTTACAGACCATGCACGCCTTAGGCCTGCCCGTGCATGATCTGGTTAGGGAAGAGACACATGCTCTGGGTCTCAGCCCATAGCTGTCCATCATCAGGGGTTAGCAGCTGAGTGCTCATGTCACGGCAAGGCCAGTCCTGAGTAACAGGAGTCATGATGTAGAACATGAACCCAGAGCAGGATAACACCTTCTTCCTGGGAATTGGGCAACACAGAGTCATCAGGGTGAGATCCCACTTTCCTGGGGGCTCCACCCTTCAGGACGAGGAAGCCTAATGGGTGGGAAGGGGACCAGCAGCACAGGCCTCCTACCCACTCCAAGGCATGAACAAGGATCCCAGAAATGCCACCTCAACCTTGAAAGCTAGTATCCTGGTCTCCACTGTCTCCCTTGAATCCTTGCATCTAAATGTGCATTTTATTGTAATGTATTTTACTCAGTAAACCAACTTAAGTCTTCCTTCAACCCTTGGATTCAAAGAGCCACAAAGCTTTGTGCATCTTCTAGTATGACTGTTCTCCTTCCCATCCCAATCCTAAAAGGTCTCTAATGTTTTTCTCTGGATTTCTGGTTCACTACAAGTAAAATCCTCTAAATCCATATTGATTTCCTGACCATCCTTTTACTTTATTCTTCATTGTTTCTCCTGAACACTGGACTTCTATATTCAACTGTCCACTTGTCATCAAAGTACATTTTTAAGTCAACATATCTAAAACTTGGCCCTAAACTGCCTGCCCCTAATGAACACATATGCATGCACATACCCAGTCTTTTCCATCTAAGTGGATAACCACTACATTCTTTCAATTGATCAGGTCAAAAATCTGGTTTGTCTCGCTGTCCCACATTCAGCCATCAGCAAACGCTGTTGGCTCTCCCTTCATAGCATCACCAGAGCCCTGGCAGCTCTACCTCTGCCTGCTGCACCCTTCGCCAGAACGGCCTTCCTCTCCCTGGGGGCTACTGTCTCGGCTTCCTAACAGTGTAATCCTGGCTGCACTCTGGCCCCTTACATCTATTCTCAATGCGGCCGCTGGGCTCATCCTTTCAGTAATGCCCAAGACAGCAGTACCATTGCAGTGGCCTCTCATGCAACTCAGAAGGAAAGCCAAAATCTTACAGCGAGCCCTCAGGTGCTACAGCGCATGAATGCAGTTTGTTATCTGATTTTCGTCTCCCTCTTCTTCCCCTTTCCATGCCGCGGCATCCAACCCGGCATCGCTGCTGACCGCTTCCCACCATCAGGTCTCTCCCAGCCGTGCCCTCTGCCTGCAGCGCCCTTTCTCCGGGGTGTCCTCTGCTCATTCCCTCAATCCGTCAAGGCTGCTCCAATCGGCCGCTCAGTGAGGACTGTACAGCGGTCCCCGACTCCAGGCCCACCCTCTCAGCGCCCTTCGCCAGTCCCAGGGGAAGCGCCACTTCCCAATATGTTGTTTGTGAACTCGTAATGGGTTCCATTGCTGTAGTATTCACGAGTTCATTTCGTTTGGTTGGCTTTGGGGTTTTTGGTAGAATGTAAGCACTGCGGGGAGGAGTCTTTGCCTGTTGATAGCAGCATGTTTGATATTGCCCAAGCACCGCAAACACTGGTTTGTCGTTGTATCACTCACTGCATACTTGCTGTATAAATAAATGTGGTGTTGCTAGGGTTTCAGAATTAAATGACTGAGCTGAAAGTGTTTTGTGAACGTGGTATCATTATTATTTGTAACTCATCACTGATCCATAACATTTAATGTCAAGTGCTAAATGAGTAAAATCAATTAGGTACAGAGAAATTTTGAATGGAAGGCTGCGTTTGCAGAGGTGATGAAGTCTGGTGATTGGATGAACTGCCGTGTCCAGGCCTGGCCCCGCAGAGCCATCTGTAGCTTTGATTCCCTATGGCAACACAATGATATCTTGACTCACACATTGCCTCAAACACACACCACACGCCACCTCTCTTACACTTGCTAGAAACATGGGAACAGTTTACAAAATTCTATGGACTAAAGCGGTTTTTTAAAAAATTGGCTCGTAACCCATGTGTCCCTCTCTACCTGAACTTCACAGCAGTGCCACCTCCTCTCCTCGTCACCACTTCCTTACGACTGTGCGTTCCTCTGGGATTAGACATCAGACTTTTTCTAGCCCACATTGTTTTAAAGAATGGCTAAAAAGCCGTGCCCTAGCATTAGGGCCCAGTTTCTCTGTCTGCAGTTTATCAGGACCGGGATGATTTATTTAAATCTAGTTAGATCGTTTCACCCACTGCCACCCCACGATGGGTTGACTGCTTTCTGGAGTCATTAACTAAACAGCTGATCATTCGAGCGTGCTGGGAAAGCCTGGGGAGCAGGGTGCTGGGGGGACAGCACTCTGTGGAGCTGCTAGGGAGCAGGCCCTAAAAGAGCTTCATCAGCTCGCAGAAAGAACGAAGCTACTTTAGAACAATGGTTTCAGCCCTTAGCATCTTAAAGGCAAATGAATTGGGACACTGAGATTAAAACCGCCTGCTCTCCACACACTGGCCCTTTGTGCATGTTTCCAGGGCGCCGCTGCCACCGCGTGAGGGAGGGGCAGGGTGAGGTGCGTGCGGTCCGAACGCACACTCTCCCATCTACGGGTTCTGCTCCCCCGCCTGCCAGCAACATTCTCCCGTCCTGATTCTGTGACTGTCTCTACCCAAAAGTACCCAAATAATTGTTTTGACCTATTCCTTAGTCAATTGACTCAAACAAGTATGGTTTTGCTCTGATGTTGCTTGGTTGATTGCAAGAATTCTATTTCTATTCTTTTTTTGTACTATATTATTATTTAAATTTTCAAACTTTTGATATCGTAGTTGCCTCTGCAAGAACATTAAAACAGCTCCTGTATACACAATCAGATAAATCAGGGATTCATGATACTTGCTCAATGTCCTCTTAGTTTTTGAAACTGAAGAGATCAAGTAAAACAAATAAACAGACTCATGGACTCAGAGTATGGTGATTACCAGAGGGAAGGGGAGGGTGGGGAGAGGAAGCAGAGGGTGAAGGGGGAATAAATGGTGACAGAAGAGACTTCACTTGGGACGGCGAACACATAGTACAGTATATAGATGGTGTATTACAGAATTACACATCTGAAACCTGAATAATTTTATTAACCAATGCCACCCTAATGAATTCTATTTAAAAATTTTTTAAAAGAAAGTAAATAGATGTGAAAAGAAGTATAAATTGACATATACTGACATCTTCCTTTAAAATCTCCCAATAAAACTAAGTGAGTAAAATAAAATAGTTCACCCTGTTAGCTCCTTAAATTAATAATAATAATATTGATCAATGCATCTATAAAATTTTTCCACCATCTAGGACAATGGGTTATTTTTTATACATAAAATTCTTTTAAAAAGTAAAAATACTATATTTTCAGTAGATATAAGGCAGAAAAAATAACACAGTCCTGTTCTAGGTGGAATGGGATTAATTGTGCTTCAGTTGTTTCTTAGACATGTAATAATTCTTGGGAGCAAGGGAAAGGAGCAAATGGCCCAGCAGTACTTATGTTTATGAAACAACGATGGAGTGAATCCCAACTTTGCTTCCGTGAAGTAAAAATCCTTACTGTATCAAGGGACAAATTCTCATGGTCCTCATTTTCTGTCTGGGCCCCATGGGATCGGAGGCGATGCCTGCCCATGGCATGCCTCAGGGTCTGTGCTAACGACCCCTGTGAGTTCCCAAGTTTCCCTGGAGTGCAGGGCTGTGGATGACCTCAGACCACGGTC